TATTTAAAAATACATAATTCAATTATATACACATATATGATGTACAAAATTATTTTTTTTTAAATATATTTTAAAAAATAAGTCATAAATAAAAAGGAAAGGTCGAAAATTGCGGGCATTTTATTAAGCAATTTTAGAATCTTTTTTTATTAATTGAATTTTTTCCCGTAACTTTTCGCTATCTTCTTTTTTTTTTGTTTCAGAATACTAGAATGCTTCCACTACCACGAGCAGCAAAGGAACGAATTAATTTCTCGTTACTTCAATCAAGCTCGACTACCAGTCAAACATCTTTAAGTAATATTCCAAAGATACAAGATATCGTTGATTGGGATATAGTCCGTCGAAAGTATCGCATGCGATTCGGAGACGAAATCGAGAAACCGTCCAATGAAGAGGTGATGCTTGCTAAAATGGCTTGAACAGTAAAATTGACGCGCGTAACATATTCTATTATTACACGCAAATTTCCATACGCGTAACTTTTTTATTATTTTATATCGTAATGTATTTGGGATAGAGGTATATATTGTAACCGTACTTTTAAGTGCCGGCACAACTTCGTCGCGTTTTCCAAAAATAATCCTAAGGAGGCGAAAGCTCTTATTTAAGATGAACGATACTTATTGGAGCAATAGTGCGGTTCGTCAATAATTCTCGCGTGATTCGAGATTTTACAAAAGTTAGCGAGTTATCTCGCTCAGCAACGATCTTAGTCGCTATTAAAAATTCGTTGGGCGCCAGGCACGAGAGAGCGTGCCACTCTTCGCACAAATGGTTAGATAAATTGCTCGGACAAAAATGTCGGATCCTCGCGACGGACGAAATGACTAGCTCAGCCAACGGAATTGGCAGAGGGGAGTGGTTCGCGGTAAGCGGAAAAGATTATCGGAGAAAGACAGAGAGGCTGAAATAAAGGCACCAGAATTAATAATGACAATATCGAGAAATCAGTATATTTTGCAGAGACTGTACAGAAGTGTTCGTAAGAAAGTACGTTACAGCGTTGACCTTCCGCGCTCTGGTATGCGGCACAATAACAATGAACCGACTATTAAATGGCCGTCGACAATAAGAAGTAAATTCGGCAATAATTCGCCGAGAAGAAATGTGCGACAAAATCTAGATCTTATTACATTAACAATGATTACTTCGTGAATAATTGAAATACACAATTTTACATAAGACGGCAACGGTTCTCCAAGGCGCGATAACGCCAGTCTCGACTTTTAAGAATTCTCAATAATTTACAATTAGACACGTGACTTGGCGGCAACGAGGGCGAGCAACTACACGATTATACATTCTCAATTAGAGCGTCTGAGCGGGAGGCACGTATTCACGGCAACGTTAACTCGAAACGCCTACAGGCGACCGAACCGATATCGGCAACGAAAAATCGGAGTAACGCCTAACGTGTGCTCCGCTCGAGACGCATATCACGTATCGCGATCGATGGCTTTACATTACTTATTGGATAACGCTCGCCTCACCACGTAACGATCCCTCGTCGATCCCAGGGATAGCCTCGGCCTCTACTCTTCGGAACGCTTGTCGGTAACGGTGTTAGACTCTCCTTGATATTCTGCTCCGGAGATCCTGCGTCCTCTTTACACTGACGCGTATTCAGATTTTCTCCAAATGTTTTTTTCTTTTAACATTCTTCTATATTCACTACTTTTGAGAATTTTGCAGAACCGTTTTTATAATCAAATTAAAATTTATTTAAAAATACATAATTCAATTATATACACATATATGATGTACAAAATTATTTTTTTTTAAATATATTTTAAAAAATAAGTCATAAATAAAAAGGAAAGGTCGAAAATTGCGGGCATTTTATTAAGCAATTTTAGAATCTTTTTTTATTAATTGAATTTTTTCCCGTAACTTTTCGCTATCTTCTTTTTTTTTTGTTTCAGAATACTAGAATGCTTCCACTACCACGAGCAGCAAAGGAACGAATTAATTTCTCGTTACTTCAATCAAGCTCGACTACCAGTCAAACATCTTTAAGTAATATTCCAAAGATACAAGATATCGTTGATTGGGATATAGTCCGTCGAAAGTATCGCATGCGATTCGGAGACGAAATCGAGAAACCGTCCAATGAAGAGGTGATGCTTGCTAAAATGGCTTGAACAGTAAAATTGACGCGCGTAACATATTCTATTATTACACGCAAATTTCCATACGCGTAACTTTTTTATTATTTTATATCGTAATGTATTTGGGATAGAGGTATATATATACATATAAATATACAAAAGTAAAGTACTTTCTACGTTTGTACGTTTTCTTGTAATATTGCTAATTGTAACGATATACATATATCATATATATATCTATATAGACGTCATAAGTATAAATATCGAGAAATTGCTTTATTTTCATTGTTCATTTCATCTTACCCTTTCCAAATGGTGCCTGTGCATTGGTTTGCAAATAAAAAATACCTTGAACGTTAGAGTCAATAAATTCGCCCATAACGGCAGTACTAAAATTGTTATCGCTGCATTTATCAAGTTGAAAATCCATCCAATTGGAGCATTTCACAGCAACAAAGCCATCAGGATGCACGATGGACTCGGCGAAAAACTGATACGATCTACCATGGCTGCAGGTTTCTAAAAATACAAGCTAGATCAATATTCTTGTGGACTTAATATTGTAACATTTAGCTGGCATCGTACGGGATGAAAATACAGGGCATCCAGGTTGCCTAAATGTTCCTCCGTTCGGATAAAAATCCGCGTGGCCAATGGGTTTGAGGAAACCTAAACTGCCGGCGCAAGTGTGAATAACATCCACAAAATTGGCGTCTGCAGCATCCAATCGATCCTTTGTATCTTTAAGATAAGGCGTCTCGAATGCCGGCCCAGCCGGATCAAGTCCGGTAATTCGACCGAGTTTCTTCGATATATAGTTTCCGATGTATCCGGCTACATGAGCACCCAAACTGTGTCCCACAACGTGAATATCATCGAAGGATACTTGAGTTTCTGACCCGAGAAATTCGATAAATGCAGCCACGTATTCTCCCACCTGTAAAACATAAATTTTTATTGTGCATTACATTCTTGCAAAAAAAGTACTTTGTAAAAATTAATGAGCACTTTTTAAAAAAATCAAATCGAGAATTCTCGCGCAAAATCAATTTTATCTTTATTTTCGTTGTGTTTATGTACATACACTTTATATATATCGTATAACGAAAAAATATTTTCTTTTCCTATGTAATTTGGGTCACGTTTTAAAACAAGCATTTGAAAAATTATATTCTATATTGATATAAATTTTGCAATCGTGCAATATTTTTTTTACAAGAAAATTAGAGTTTGATTTTTTTATTCATTCAATCTTTTTCAAAATATGCATTTTACTTACCTGATGAGTAAGTTTGACGGATGTTAGATACTCTTTTGTTGAGCCGGCAAACCAATCTACGCAAATTACATTATAATCTTCAACATTAAGATAATTCCGCCGAATGTCGTGTAGCCAAAAAGCATTTCCATTTTCTGTCCACCCGTGAATAATAATCTTGGTAAGCAATTCAGGATTAAATGGCGAATCCTTCAATTGAATAGCATCACCCACTCGTAGATAAATAGGTTGTTCCTTATTGTCCTTGGTATAAAGTTCATACTTTATATCTTCTACTTTAAAATCTAAATCAATTATATCGCCAATTGTCGGTTTATTATTTGCAACAATCGATGTCGGATTTAAAAAGACTTCCAAAAGACCTTCGGAATGATCTTGAAAATTTTGAATCGATGGACGATTGTGCAATAGCTCCGCTATATTAAAAGATACATCTAAAAAGAAATGGAAAGAAATAAGAATAAATAATACATTTACCTCCATTAGTATAACTAAATTATATTTTTAACGAAGTTGAAAATATTTAAATAAGAACCACCTTACTTAGGAACAGAAATACGAGGAACGTAACAATAAGAGACATTGTGATATTTTTCAATGGTTTTATTAGACACTGTATTTCTTTTATACCTTCATATTACATAAGTAAAAATATTCTTGGATCATTCAAATCATTTTATCTTATTACTAACATAACAATAAAATGCATAAGTTGCTGCACGAACTTCCGGTATTTATTTATCCTAATTTAATATCAAAAGAACACTATTATAGAAAAAACTACATCAATCACGACTTAGTTATACATATTTTTTCGATGTTTGGCAATGCTTAAATATAGATAATAAGATTTTTTAAAATATTCGTACTTAATTATCTTTGGGGAAAAAATTAAGAATAAAAAATACTAACTTCGATAGTCGGATCTTATAACTAATTCAGTTGGCACATAATTTTTTGGTTAAATCGTTATGATATTGGGTGCTTTCCAGCAAGGACAGAATCAGACACAATTAGACCTGTGTAACACAGAGAATCGTTTCATCCTCGTTTAACGTAGACAAACAACAAGGATGCAAAACAACAAGATTCACTGTATTACACAGTGTCTACTTGTGTCGTAGCTGGAAAGCAGCCATTGACTGTTCCAATATACATTGCCAGTACTGAGATTTTACAATAGTTTACGTTATGTAGAACTACTATAGAGCTTCAGTAGTACTAGCAGTGTATATATCGAAATACTGTGGCACGCATCACAGAACCTCTTAAAGTCAAAGAGTAACTTTGCGTACATAATATTGTAATATATTAACATTAATGATTATAATAATTGCAATATTAAAATATATATTGAAGAATCTTTAATGTTTTAATGAATAGTAATGTAATTTTATGATTTTGTGCTCTTTTGAAGGAATATAGTTTCTTTGTCATATCTAATAGATGTAACAACATTTAATCCTAATATAGCCGCTTCCTCACGTATAATTTCATATTCTTCTTTTGTAAAACCATCTGAGAGATTTTGTCTTACTGTATTAGGACTATTGATAAGTTTTTCACACAAATCACGGGCGGCTTTTCGAAATTCAGAAACTTTCATTCGTTCTTCCTTAGATTTGAAGCAATTTCTCCATAAGCGTTTCTCTATTTCCAGATGCTCACGCTGTCTCATATTTGTCTAAAAATAATAAAATAAAAAGAAGATACCGTTACAACAAAATTACTTTGTAAAAAATTTTTAACTTACTGTCCGAATTGCTTTTTCAATAACGTCATTATTCATTTCTAAACTGCTTGCAGCATAGAATTCTTTCATTGCTTTATTGTATTCTCCAATACTCAGCAAAGCTTTTCCATAACTAGAAAATATGAAAAAACAAATTTATTATAATACTGATTTGGCTAGCACCGTGAGGTACTAGACGCCCTAGTTATTTCAACTCTAAATTAAGACCCCTTAGTGTTAGAAAATGAGACTTGTAGTACCGTCTATTAAAATTAAATTTCACTAAAATAACTTTTAGCACTCTTGTTAAAGTAATATTTCAAGAATATCCTGAATTTTTGTCAAAATATCAAACAGCCTATTCGCGGTAAATGATTTTATGGTTGAAGTACCAGATGCCCCAGCTATGCGATTCTAGAGAAGTGTGCCAGCTAAGGGTCAATATTAATTGTACATAAATTATGATTATCACATACTGATAATGACTTTTAGCTGTTGGTTTTGAAACGTTTCTTAAAGCTAAACAAGCTTTAGTAGGCAGGTCTATCTTATTATAACAAACTCCAAGATTGGTATACGCTCGTGAGAGTAGTTCATTCATTTTTTTTTCTTCATCGTCATCTTTTAACTTAACTGACTCCAAACAATCAATAATCTTTCTATATCTAAAAAAATACATATTAAAGAAACGACTTCATATTTACAAAATTTTATAACATCAATTACTTACTCTCGTATCGCCGGTTTGTAGTTAAATTTTGTACAATAATCTTTAGCAGTCACAAACATATGTTCCACAGGCTCTACAACATAGTTAAATAATTGTCTCTCCTCTGCGTTAAGATTTTTATATGTTTGTGCACAACCATTGTCAATAAAATCAACTAAATGGACAACAAAGATCACTTCCTCATTAGGTGGAATACGTGGTGGACAACCAATAGCCTTGAAGGCATAATCAGGATGTATCAGAAATACTGCTATTTCGTGCTTTTGCATAGAACGTATACCAATTTCTAAACCAGATATAATGAAACTCTGGCCTAAACGCAACGATCTTGGTCTCCCAACAGAATAAGTAGAATCAAAAGGCTCATCTCTGTATTCAAAATATCCAATATAATGGACAATTGCTTGAGCATTTTCTGGTATAATTACTCCAACACCTTTCTGTTTAACATACTTCATAACCTAGTAACAATACCATATTAAACTTGTTAAAATTACATTCATGATTTCATTCAACTGTACTGACAAACTTATCAATAAAATCGTAAATATTTTCTATAAAAAAAATATATAAAAAATAATATAAAATCTGATTAACTTTGTTATCTGTAGTTAGGCTTGTCATCTTTGTCTTTAGCTTTGAAAAACTTAGACCACAGAGTGATACAGTTTCTTTTTCATCTTCGTCTTCATTTTCAAAATCATTCATGTTTAACATATTTAACATCTCTTCATTGCTAAATTGTACATAGGGAGAATAAGAAAATTCTTCATCCTCTTCATTGATATTACAGTCTTCTCCAATTTCAAACATAATTCCATCTTCATTTATTAAATCCCTGAAATAATACAACAAATATGTAAGAATGTAACCTAAAACACACATATATAAATTTATTAATATATTTCTTATATACTTAATCTTAAAACCGTCCACCATGGGATTTATGCTTTTCGCCATTTTTCCGTTGTAAAATTCTTTGTCAATCAATTCGCCTTTATGGTTTCCACTCTTTCCTTTCTAAAACACGAATGATTCAACTTCTTCTTCTTCTTCTTTAATTAGGCTTCCAAATAATGAAATAGGAGGTCGATATCAGATCACGTCTTTAATGTAAACCGTACAAATATGAAAACAAACGGGTGATACAATGCCCGCGAAAATGGCGTAGCCCGAACGGACACCGGGCGCCTGCGTCTACTACGATGTCGTGGTCGTCACGCTGCAATAACGCGCGTCAGGACTCGTCAGGACGAACAGGTTAACCGGTTGAGCCAACAGCGAATACACATCAGTGATGAACTTTCAAAAATATACAATAACGAGCACTCGCGCGATCCGAAACGCGTCCAGTACGGTCGAACGGTTTTTCAGAACTTTTCGATTCAACTTCAATGGATGGCACTCGAGACCACTCGAGACTCGACTACAAAGCTGAAGGCGTAATCACACTACCACAGTATAGGCCATGATGGATTCCACCATGATATAGGCAGTACAGTAGTTTCACTCTCCAAAATTTATGGAGGGGCTACGCAGAATAAAAGGAACAGGGAACAGAGAATAAGAATTTCAACCTATCAGAAATCATATACTGTGGAATAAACAGTGCGTATTCCATAGTACATGATTTCTGATAGGTTGAAATTCTTATTCTCCGTTCTCTGTTCCTTTTATTCTGCGCAGCCCTAAAAGTATGTCTTAACGCATGCGCGAATCGCACTACTTTCATCATGGCTGTATAAGTCGGCACGAGTCTGCGCGGTGTGACGTGGAAAGTGCGGATTGGCTGCTTGAGTTATTCAAATTTGAGTTTGAGCAGTACATACGTTGATATACATTGAAGGTTGAAGAGCGTCTTGTTCAGTTCCCTTTTACTAGTTTTACTCCTGATTAGTACTTATAATTAGTAGTGTGCGTGCAAAGTGCAGTGTCCAATCGTTTTAATATGTTCTGTGCGTTTTAATATGAAAATATGTTACAATGGCGGGATCTATAGAGATACCACTCCGCTATACAGATGAGGTGAATATGTTGTTCTTCTGATTATATCGTTAATTCACAATATCCATAATGACGAGATCCTAAGCGCAATGAAATTGGATGACAGACACTTTTGCAATGCTCAGCGACGTTAATACAAGCCTAACCTTAAAAAAAATGGACACGCTTCTCCTGGTCGAATAAATATTACATGTCACGTGCATACATTCGGATAGCAATATGTTTAATGTTGGTTCAACAGCTCGACGTTTATGAATTATTCCTCTTTTGTTTACTTTAAACTCTCTTATTCACTGAAAAAAATGCATGTAATTTTACATGGAAATTACATATGTTTATAACCGGAAAAATACCTAAATTTAACTGGAAATTTCCTTTTCTAGATTTTTTAAAGTAAAAATACATATTAATTGTGAAACATATGTGAATGTACTACTTTTATGTAAAAATAACTTGTAGTTTTAAATTTAAGCGGTATTTTTACAACGCATAAACGGATAAAAACAGTTTCATGTAAAATTACAAAAAAAAAGAGTAAAATTTTACGTTCTGTAATTTTACATTTATTGTATGATCATTGTAGCCAATCAGAATATACACTTGGCGCAAGCGCACCGAGAAGAATGCTGCCGCGCGCCTCGAATGCTCGATAGAATTTCTCACATACAAAATGTAATTTTTACAGACAAAATGGAATCCCGTAAATACATATTGTATGTAAAATTAATATATTAAAATTTGTAATTTTCCGTATGATCTGGAATATTACATGATTATGCTGGGTCGGAAAAAACCCAGCATAATCATGTAATTCACACAAATATTTTTTTCAGTGTTCGCCTAGTATATGTTCGCATGTGTCGTTAAATTTTTCTTTGTAATAATTGAATATCATAATCTGTAGGACCACAAATCTACCATTTTAAAATACAAATTTAATTCTATCTGCATATATTGCTAAGTGTTTTTAATTCTTTTTACCTGTGATAATTGTACAAATGTAAATCTTAAGTTTATAATTTTCCGCTAAAATATAATCTAATATCAATTATATATTCTCAAGTAACATTAATAATCCTGTTTGTAAGTTCTATTATACAACAGTACATTTGTTTGAGTATATAGCTACAATTTTCCATCTAGAAATATATAGTACAGTATATTCACTTACATCCTTTCAAATATTATTAATAATCTTTTCTACCTGTTAATAGTTAATATAATAATTATATAGCTTTTTATATTAAAAATACAATGTAATCCTACCTATATGTTTTTAAATAATTCTTTCCTGTGATAATTGTCTAATACGTAGATCATTGTGATCTTATGCGAAACATAACGAAAAGATATTATTTAAATTACCTACTTATCCTTATTGTCATGTTATAATTTAATATTTGCTTATCTCATGTATACTTATTGATATTAAGTATCATTATACTATATGATAATAACTATAAAATATAAAATTAGTCTTCATATAATATGAACAATATGATCAATATGAACATTAACATCAGAAAATGGTAGAAGTATAAAATAAATATTTACATGTGTAACTTTCTTATTTTTTCTTATTATACTTGTAAGTTAATATGCTACATTCTAAATACTATACTTATTTTATGGATATTTTGATATTACAATACAGTTATATGATAATATGTAATATTAATCTTCATATTATCAATATGACCATTAAATCAGAAAATAACAAATGAAAGATACATTCATATGTACCTTTTGCTAAGATTATAACGGTTCTATTTAATTTCGTAGGTCATAGAACTTCATTTAGATCAGTTACCAGATGGAGATGAAGTTCTGGAGGTTCTGCGAGAGGAACATGCTCAACTTAATATCTGGGTTAATTTGGCTGTATGTATAGAATAGATAATTTTAATAAAGAAAGAATATATGTTAATGTCTAAGTTTATTTCTGCTTCCAGCTTGAGTATTACAACCAACAAAAAATTGATGATTTCATTAAAATACTTGAATCTTCTCGTATTGATGCAAATATTGATTATCGCGACTATGAAAAAGATCAGATGCGAGCCCTTAGTATGTTGGCTGCCTATTATGTCCAGGAAGCCAACAAAGAAAAAAATAAAGATAAAAAAAGCGATCTCTTTACAAAAGCCAAATTATTGTATACAACAGCTGACAAGATGTTCGTGTATGATCACGTATGTATTGTCATATATATTTGAATAATAATAACCATAGTAATTTTTATATTCGTTTTTTTTATTGCAGAATCATTTGCTTGGTCGAGCTTATTTCTGCCTACTCGAAGGTGATAAAATGGAGCAAGCTGATGCACAATTTAATTTGGTACTGAATCATTCGCCAAATAACATACCTTCTCTGCTCGGTAAAGCTTGCATTGCTTTTAACAAGAAAAATTACAGAGGTGCACTTGCATTTTATAAGAAAGCCCTTAGAACTAATCCAAACTGTCCAGCCGCTGTTAGATTAGGAATGGGGCATTGTTTTATGAAGTTGAATAATCAAGAGAAAGCGCGACTTGCATTTGAGAGAGCTTTGCAACTGGATGGACAATGCGTCGGCGCGCTAGTTGGCCTTTCAGTCTTGAAATTAAATCAGCAACAACCTGACAGCATAAGAACCTGCGTGCAAATGTTATCAAAGGCATATACGATCGATTCGACAAATCCGATGGTGCTAAATCATTTAGCAAACCATTTCTTTTTCGAAAAAGATTATAAAAAAGTTGAACGTTTAGCGTTGCGTGCATATTATAACACGGAAATCGAAGCCATGCGAGCAGAAAGTTGCTATCAGTTAGCCAGAGTATTTCACGCCAAAGTAAGCATAAAGTAGTCATTAATGCTATTATGTCAATACTGCTTTTATCTTAAGTAAAAATATTTCAGGGTAAAAAATATTTCGATCAAGCATTTCGATGTTATTATCTGGCAACGCAGTTTGCTCCGCCTGTATTTGTACTGCCATATTTTGGCTTAGGACAAATGTATGTTTCTTGTGGTGATGAAGAAAATGTAAGAATATGCAATATATGTTATTTAAAATAATTATTCATATTAAAATATATGTAAAATTATAATTTATCTCCCTGACAAGGCAGCCCATTGCTTCAAGAAGGTCTTGAAAGCACAACCAGGAAATTACGAAACAATAAAGATTCTCGGTTCGCTCTACGCTAATTCGAGTTCTCAGTCGAAACACGATATTGCAAAAAATTACTTGCGAAAAGTAACGGAACAGTTTCCTGATGATGTCGTAGCTTGGATCGAATTAGCACAGATATTGGTGCAAAGTGATTTAAATGCAGCTTTGAATGCTTTTGGGACCGCGACCAAGATCTTGAAGGAAATAGTTCAAGCAGATATACCGCCCGGGATTTTGAACAATGTGGGAGCGTTACATTACAGGTACGTGTATATTTTTATATTGCATTTATTTTGTATAGTATACTAATTTACTTTTTACTTCTCAGATTCGGTAACTTGGAGGAAGCCAGGAAAAATCTAGAGGAATCTCTAGAGGGATCTCTGGCGCGTTCAAAAACAGATGCTTTACATGATTCTAAATATTACAATTCGATAGCAGTGACTACGACGTATAACTTAGCTCGACTTAACGAAGCATTATGTGTATTTGATCGAGCAGAGAAATTGTACAAAGATATTTTAAAGAAACATCCAAATTACGTAGACTGTTATTTGAGACTCGGCTGCATGGCGAGAGATAAGGGACATATATACGAAGCGTCCGATTGGTTCAATGATGCTTTGATAATCAATAACAAACATCCGGACGCATGGTCATTGTTGGGTAATTTGCATCTGGCCGAGATGGAATGGAGTCCTGGCCAGGATAAATTCGAAAGAATTTTGAAAAATCCGACCACGAGCACCGATGCTTACTCTTTAGTAGCGTTGGGAAATATTTGGCTGCAAACATTACATCAGAGTGGAAAAGATAAAGAAAGGAAGAAGCATCAGGATCAAGCATTAGCCATGTATGAGCAGGTAACTATAATATTATCTAATTTAATGTATCTAAAGTAAATGTTATCTAGATCAACATACATGTGGTTATGTCTAATATGATTTGTTAGGTTTTGAGAAATGACCCGAAGAACATTTGGGCTGCAAATGGTATCGGTGCAGTACTCGCGCATAAAGGTTGTGTAAATGAAGCTAGAAATATATTTGCTCAAGTGCAAGAAGCAACGGCAGAATTCTGTGATGTTTGGTTAAATATTGCGCATATCTATGTGGAGCACGAACAATTCGTCAGCGCTATTCAAATGGTCGATAATAATATATTATACACAGTTGATACAGTTAGAAGTAATTAATTTCAACTTAAATAATTTAATATTTTACATTGTAGTACGAAAATTGTTTGTGCAAATTCTATGAATACCATCACGTTGAAGTTTTACAATATCTTGGACGAGCTTATTTTAAAGCTGGCAAGTTAAAAGAAGCAAAACTGACGTTATTAAAAGTAATTAGACATACATGTGAATTTTTTAAATTATTTTATTTTGATATATAATTTGTCAATATATTCTTAGGCGCGCAGAGTAGCTCCGCAGGATACCGTCTTATTATACAATATTGCTCTTGTACTTCAACGATTGGCCACACAGATTCTTAAAGATGAAAAATCAAATTTGACGACCGTACAGCAGGCAGTTCATGAATTACGTGTTTCACTCAAATATTTTCAGTATTTGTCAGCGCCTGGCGACAAGATGGACAATCCTGATTGGACAGGCGACAGGATGGAACATCTTGTTCGGATGGCGGAAGCTGAAGCCAAGAGAAGTTACGATTTGTTATCACAAGCACGGAATCATGTCGCTAGAGCTGAAAGGTTGGATGAGGAAGATAAGTTGTTAAGACGTAAGCAAGAAGAAGAAAGGTACGTCATTCTCATCGGGAATATTTTTTTATACGTTTATCGCTAAATCATCTAAATTTATAGACAAGCCTTCAAAATGCGTCAGACGGGAGAGCAACGTAAACTGGAAGAGATGCGTCGCAAGAAAGAAGAGGAGATTTTGCAGAAACGACAAGAATATATTGAGAAAACTAAGAACGCATTGGTATTCGGTGAAATGCCGTCAGAGAAACCTGGTAAAAAGGGTAAAAGGCAACAAACTGACCAGTATGTTAGTGATAGTGGAGGATCTGATAGAGATGAAGGCAGAGAAGGACCGAAAAAAAGAAAGGGTAAGAGGAAACCTAGCAGTGGAACTAAAGAGAGGAAGAGTAAAGGTAAAGAAAGACGCGGGAAGGATGTTGGAAGTGGCAGTAGCGGTAAGAAAATTAAATTTTATTTTCTCTTTTCGTAGCATATAAAATCACTTGTTTTAATTATCAAGCTTAATATTCTTATAAAATTAAAGAAACAATTTTGAAAATATGTATTTTTTAGGATCTGTTAGTGATCAGCCGAAACGGAAACGTGGCAACAAGAACGCAAGGACTAAAAGAGAAAAAACGCGTAAGGCCGCGGTTACCCTTAAGGTTAATCTGGCTAAATTGAAGGAAACTATTTCAACGAACGAGTCAGACAGTGATACGGGTGGCATTAAAATTGCTAGTGGGTAAGTACGAGAGAGAGAGAGAGAGGAGGGAGGGAGAGAGAAAGAGAGGTAGAGAGAGATGCTATCTTAATATTATATACGATTATCTCTAACTTTAGAATTCAATAAATCACAGTTGATTTGATTTTTCTTGCGGATTGATATCACATTTATCATTTTTTAATTATATTATAATTACTAAATATTAAAAAATCTTAGGAGAGAGAGAGAGAGAAATATTTCTTAGTTATTACACTCAACAAAATATAAATTAAATAATGTTAAATTAAATTTTTCTTGTTATAGTGGCGAAAGCGGTAAAGAGAATCAACCGCATGGCAGCAAACAAATCGTCTCTGTGATTCCGAAGGCTCTCGCGGCTCACGCTCGAGATCACGTTCAAGGTCGAAATCCGCTATCCATTCGAGGATCAGATTACGTTCAGCTTCTTGTTCGTGATCTTCATCACGATCGCGCTCTCGATCTGCTTCGAGATCCAGATCGAGAAGCGTTTCGAGATGAAGAAGCTGGTCGGTATCCTGGTCAAGATCAGCCAAAAGCCGATCGAGATCAGGTTCGCGCAAAAGCGGCTCGTGGTCAAGGTCTAACAGTAGCTCGCGAAGAAGTGGATCAAAGCCAAGATTAAGACCGAGTTCGAGAAAGAGCGGTTCTAGGTCTTTCAGTTGTAATTCAATAATGTGATTAGACGTTATTTAGTAAATAAGTACAATTTATTTTTTATATTATATAACTGTGATATGTGAAAAAAGACTATTCGTTATAATATATTGTATAACTTAATTATAATAACAATTTTAATTATTACAATTAATTTTATGGTCTTTGTACGTGACGAAATAAATTTGGATAACATAATAACTAGTTTGATAATAAAAAATAATTTTATCTCATTATATTAGTACATGTAAAATTATTTATCTGATTTGTACTCTTTTGATATGCACATTATACATTGACGACTAATATTTAAGATCAGTAATAATCACATATTTTCATAGATGCGTCTATAATCGAATTCAATTCAAAGGCTGCTGTAAAATCAAAATATTTACCAACTAAAGCCTATGGCACACGGTGCTTGTTTTTCTGCTGGATTGCTAGCTGGATTAGAATCTTGCCACCGTATTGGCTGCGGTGCTGAAAGTGCCAGTATCGCGGCCAATCCAATGGCAAGAATCTGATCTAGCTAGCAATCCAGCAGGAAAAGAAGCACCGTGTGTCGCTGGCTTTAGATATCAATATTCTTTCGAATCAAAAACATTCCTAATATTGTTTACAAAGATATGAACTAATTCTGTAAGACAAAAACGTGCTAAATGTCTATGAACACTTAGATCGTAGAACTAAGAAAATGCAAATGTAAATACCCAGGATGAATGACGTGGACGTGACAGATCTTTTATCCCTTTGGGATATCCTTGATTTACGTGAATCCTCTTGCCTCTCACGTTTGGGATGCTTAATTTATGTGAGTTCCCTTGCCTCTGACGTTTGAAGGTTCTTCATTAGAGATGCAAGAACTATAATATATAAAAAAAATTCAAGCAAATTGACTGAAAACGTTTTTTTCAGTCAATTCATAAAAAGTGCGTGGTCCTTTGCCAATAACAATATAACTTACAAATATTTTGTTAATTTGATGCTATACTCGAAAATAGTTTAAATATCAATTATAACCCTGAGGGACATTTAATATTCAATTATACCCACCTTAAACTAATAACACTTAGATCAGACACCGAACAAAATCAATTTTGAATGTCGCTCGTAAATAGACGATTCGAAGACAAAACAAAAATGATAGTTCTTAACCCATTACCAGCGTAACCCATATCAGTATCATTATCTTAAAAAAATTAATGTTTTAATGTAATTAACGACTTATAACCGTCGATACGACTTAGCTAACTCCATTCTACTAACAGTAATCATAAGACGTAACGTAAGAATTAGCCAATCAGAGCTGAAAGTTTTTGAAAATTCTTGTTTGTGATTGGTTAATTCTTACAATATCTCTTAAGATTACTGTTAATACAAAATTGTATACGGATTCTCTCTCTGACTACTTTACGTTTTTGTGTGGGCTATAGGCTCGAGACTAGCCCATTCACTGATAATGTCTAATAAACGTTATGTACTCTATAGATTTCCAGTACTGGCAGTGAGTATTAGAATTCTGAGTTATGTAACGCATGATGCATCATTTGTCCTGGTTGTGTTCACCAAATAAAGTTGGATGAAATGATGTAATACATTACGCACTAATTTTTGCATAACTTGAAACACACCTTTGGAAAGCAGACTAAATTAATAGGTCTGTTTAGGTATCTATGTACTAAATGTCTATTATAACTACTGACAATGGCTGTGTTCTAAAATTTATTGCACATATCGAAAAGCTGTAGTGCACGTAACATAAACTATAGATTTTTAGTACTGGTAATAAATTTTTGAATGCAGCCAATATTGACAAAACATTCTTGAGTTGAGCGTATGAAAATGTTTTCATTATAATCATAATTATTTTTTTATTAATTTTTTAAATTAATAATTATAACATCATTATATTTTTTTAAGAATTATGATTTTATAATCTTATAATTTTTTAATATTTCCATTAACACAATTATATGTATAAATATATTTTTCTTTTAAAATAACAATCCATTTTAAAATATGCAATAGATAAATACTTGAAGTTGAATAAAAGTACAATAGCAGTATACGTTCATTTAAATAGTTTACTTTTTTAATTCTCCGTGGTGTCTTCATTGAGTTTCTAATTGATTTATCGAAGAACTATCGATTAGCAAGTAATACGGATACGTAACCAGCCGACGTCTTTATTAACTAAAAAAAAGGTAAATTTACCATGTTAGTAGACACGACTTTTAATTCTATAATATATAGATATAACTTAATTATAATAACAATTTTAATTATTACAATTAATTTTATGGTCTGGAATTTTATGTTAATGGAAAAAAGTCACAAAAATTTTAGATATTAGGTTTTTCATGTAGGTACAAATCTAAATAAGTTTGTTTTATTAAATTTTGATAAACACGAATTTATTTAGAAATAAAACGATAGTGCCAATACGCGGTTAAAGAATTATATAAATCAGCATGTATATATATGACCGGTTTTATGAAGATGTAGATTTAGATTAAATTTCTATTAACTTAATCGATAATTAATTTAATTATTAATCAAATTATACAGATAATTATCATGTATCAAACAAGATAAAGTTGATAATTTAATTAACATGTATACGGGCATGTATAAATGAATTTACGAATATCTTACACTGCAAAACATGGACAATGTCATAGGAAACATTCTGCCCGCGGTGATATACAGAGGCCTTTCAGCACGAATCATTATTAGCATCAGATGTTTGGTTTCACTTGGCGTCCTCAAGTACCACTTGTAGTTATACACCGCATAAAATATTCCTTCACCCTGCAAACATTGTTGTATCATTAACTTTGTATTAATCTTATCACTTATACGTAAATAACATAAATGACGAATTGAAAAGAGACTTTTGAGTAAAATGTCAACTTAGATAACACAACTAATCAATTTAAATTCGAAAAATACTCTTCTTCAAGTTTTTTATAAATTGGCGTAATCTGTTTGAAATGAACAAAAGAATTCCTTTCCAATCAATAAAAAAATCTATAATATCCTTTATCTTTCTTATAATTTTATCTCTGTTAGAATATTATTTAAAAGTTATAAAAGGAATTTTTTTTTGGATTCCCTGTGATATCTACGAAGACAAGTCATTAGAATGTCTAGCACCCTCTCACAAAAAATCAAAACGGCACCTATGCCAGAATTAAGTGTTATTTATGTGCTAATTATGTGCTCTAATGGCAATTTTTGTGCACTTAATTCTGCCGTTTTGATTTTTTGTGGGGGAATGCTAGCTTAACAGACATGTCGTTAGAAATTGTTTCGATTTAATGAAAAAAGCTACACAATTTTGTAAATCTATTTTTTGCACATGGCTATTTGTACTAACAATAAGCACTTACTTTGGCTATAAGAATCTCCCCGACCACGCAGTACAGACACATGTGAGCAAATGTATTAATAAGAATCGAAACGAGCCAACATATTCGCATAATGGAAACACCTTCGCCATCTCCGCCAATGATCTAGACACGTTAATATATTTTCTTTCGATGTTTTTATTTGAGAAACTCAAATTTAATTTACAATTAGTTTCTTTTCCTTTAGGATGAATGATTATGTTTTGCACGGGAAATTGATAAGAAGAGTATCATGCACGATTAAAGATCTTTAATTCATTACTGTTCCTCCACTTTTATGATCCAAAAAATATAAATATGTTAAATAAAGGACTCGTAATTAATAGAACGAAATATTAAATTAAATCAGTTATATTTAGAATATACAATTTAACCGCCGAATCCGAACGGCGCTGATGATCATAGATCTTTTGATCATCAGGCAGATGCCATTTTTTGGCTCATTAAATGCGAAAAATCGCGTTTGGGCGCATGTGGGATTGAAACTCGGGTCTACAGATCGCGAGTCAATCGCACCGAGCGGTGAGCCACTCGACGCCACAAACTACAGACATTAGAAAACCCATAATTCTCACTCTCTTCTGATTAATTTTCACTTACACTTAGTACTCGAGGAATAATCTAAATTGTAAAGTATGACATTTTTTTATTAGAATATGCATATTCTAATTAAAAAATGTATAATGGCCTAAAGATGAGCAGAATCTGAGTCTGTAAGTTTTTATATTTCTAAATGTAACTGATTTTATTGTACTCTTCGCACTGACTGCGTTTTGACTCTTATTTAGTATGTACGATTTTCTTTTAATTTTCAAGAAATATAACTTTATAAAGGGATAACTCTCTTCTCTCATTCACCAACTTACATTAACTATCAGAAATCCTTGTAGGCAAAATAACATAGCGAAAAACACTAATAGTGCCAGAAGCATCAAGTTGAATGTATTGTCGATAATATCAACAGACCTACGATTTAAGATATCGTATACTGTAATATAGCGGAGATAATTCCGATCAAGTGAAAAGTCTCTGAGAATATATACCATTACATTTCCAGGGAGAAATAAAAATTGGATCGATGTTAATTACTTAGACGTAAACGATATCCTATTTTTGCTTTTCCCTGGATTGTAAACGATGTATTCGTTCGACCAATACATATATAGGCGTAAGAAACTAACATTACGTAAAAGTATTATGTAGGTTTGTCACAAATTTATATACAATCCCAGTAATTATTATCGCATATTACAAATATTATAGTATTATAAGTAATATGTGTATTATATAATAATAATAATAATAATAATCGAAATGCAAATAAGAAATGCGCAATCTTTTTTAAGGATTATTTTCAGAGGATCTGTTTTTAGAAATATGTAGATAAAATCTGTGTAATGTTTATTCCGTTCGTATAAAAGAGAAAATATTATTTTATATTTTTGGCGATAAGTCGGGTAAGTAGATTGCAGTGCATTAATGGTTTAAATAAATGTGTTCGAGCTTTCTTCATACGCGCGGTATGCTCGAGCAATGTTTAAACTTCAACCAAACTGCCATATAGTCCTTTAGTTTTTTAAATATTATTTTAACAAAAATGACATATAGCAGTGTAAAACACAAAAAATTGTTATAAATCGAGCTTAATACAACCTAATGAGACGAAGATGATCCTCGATATTGAAAGATAATCCGATACTAAAGTCTTTCAAGTTGTTCAAACGGAGAAATCGCTCTTTGAGAATTTCCATTTGGGCACATATGTGAAACACAAGCAAGCACAGAAAAGTATCGATGCCCGTGTAAGAAATCGCGGCCATTAAAATTGATATAGCTTGGGCGGATATCACGATTTCGTAGTATGGGGTCTCCGTTATGTCTCGCAAATAATACGTTTGCACCAGCATCGGTCTTCCCGGGTCTGTTAGATTCGTCAGATATCTTGTAGTATATCCAAAGCAAGGAGGAATGATGAGAATAATGCACGCGAAGCACATCATAGTACATCCGAACATGACCATTATTCTGGCAATTCTCGCTTGCTTTATCATAGTATCTCGTTCTTGCATTGTTTTTGTCCGGAGCCAATCTTCTATGATCATGTTTATGACCGGTTCAAGATCTTTGCAGAAGGATGTAATATAGTATATAGAACTCACTTCGAGAAATGAATAAAATGGTAATATCGGAAAGAAAGACTTACCTTTTTTGTGGAACCACATGATGATAAATTTCAGGACGGTCACTGAAAAGGGTAGACCGATTTGCATATTATCTGCCATCGCCACCATGTCACCCCAGACTCTCAACAACGCTAGTATTCCGGGTATGACCGATGTGCAAAGCATCGTGGTAAAAATAATGATAGCGCGTAGATCAGCTAAAAACCTTTGTCGACGATTTAACTTATCATCTGGCCAGAGACCGAGAATCTTCAAAGAAACCCGATTTATTCCGATCGCCCAGTCTAAGTCTAGTTAATTACCATGCTATTATTGATAATGAAATCGAGATATGGATTATAATCTTATTGTTAGTAACACCATGGAAATAAATCTTACAAAAAACTTGTCACAAATATCACTGTCTAAAATATAAAAAAATAATGATTTAATATAATATATGATGTAAATAAAGAATACGTGTTTCAGATTTTTTTGTGTTTAACAATAAGTATATTTCGAAGAGAATCAAGTTTGTTCCGGACAGCTGTGATAGGTTCTTCATTAGTGACATCATGTCAATTAAAAATAAAATTGTACTTGAGTATTATAACTTTTGGAATAATTAATTAATTTAATAACAATAAATTAAAGTTTGTAAAATAAAATTTATTTACGGTAAATTTTTCCAGATAGCAATTAAAATACGTGTAGAAGTTGTTTTCGCGTTAGTCAATCTTAAAACAAAATTTCCTATCTATTCTATTAGTGACATTGGCACAAGAAAACAGTCTATCTTATACTACCAACAACAATAAATTTGTAATCTATATATTTAATAAAAATATATAGATTACAAATTTATGTCAGTATATATACGTCATTACAAACCGGTTATATATATTTATCGATATAGAAAACTTAACGATAATGATATGAAAATAAAAAAGTATCTGTAATGTATTACCTGCAGTATATCCTAATTCTTTAGAACTGTCCATATCTAAGGTTAAACAGAGACTGGCATTTTTTTTTATTAATTCAGCATACTCTCTTGCTTCACAGGTAGCATTGCAATTACGCATGCTCACGGAAAAAGTTCTGAAACGCACGTGTTCAAGTGCAAAGTACGAGCACTCTTAAATATTTCAGATATTAATGTCTGCCGTATTTTTTCGGGAGTGCAATTTCTTGTTCAAAAAAACGAATTCGTATGGCTTTCCTACGGCATCGCGTAGAGACAGTATTTTCTAAATAGTCTACGAATATCTAAATGGGTGCAACGTCCTCCAATTTTCCTTATGGATGTTTATTATTAATTTATCTTCTCGTCGCTTTCTTCCCTTTGAAGACTTATTATTTTTTTTCAATAATTTGGAGTTTTCTGAAGTATAATTTTTGTCGAATAAACTTTGAAATGCCAAAAATTATTGCATCGCCACGTAGTTTCATAGATAATGCATCAGCTGATATGTGTTTGTATTTGTAGCAACGTGAAAAGGCCGAAAATAATATGAAGTAGACTGACGATATAAGAGGTAATAAGGTAAAATGAATGTACTCGTTAAGTAGAAAAATGCTGGCTAACGCAGTGCAATCAAAAATAAGAAATAAATGTATATATTTATATTATTAAGCCACTAATTGTAAGTATTAATGATCGTGCGAGGGCTGATGTTGATTTTTATTAGTAATATTGTTTGAAGTACAATATTGTGCTACCAGTAAACATATTAACTTTACAAGCTTGGATATTATCAAAATGAACTTATTTTCTTTAATTTATATATACTTATTCAACATGCTTGTTAAAAGCTAGACTATAAATAGCACTAAAAATATTGGAAAATTGAGCTATTTTTGCCGATAAAAAATTATTATGTATATTGTATATCTATAAATGGAGCATTCGGTTTTAAAGCGTCTAAATACATAAGAATATCACGTCTATAATCTCCGAATCAAACATTAAATTTTATGTGTCTGTGTTATTATATAAATCTCGTTTAACTAATAAATTATAATATACAATCTAAAAGTTATATATTAATGTTTAATATAAAATTTTTTTACAGCATGCTCATATTTGAGTTTTCCACATAATTATTTTGACGATTCATCAAAATTATTTTCAGATTGGTATCTATAACTAAAATCTTTGGATATCCTCAGTAAAATCGTTTTTGTCGTGTTCTGTTATAAATTGGAGACATATCTAAGAATGACTTATGCTGATTTAAATTAATATCGTGATAGTGATATATAACAGAAATAGCGAAAGGATATCGAGAGGTTTTTACCTTTATAACTCAACATCTGTTATTCTTGATCATAAGATCAGAATTATCATGAAAAGTCGGATGACAAATCCGACTAAGGATGTTACATGATTTGTAAACAGGAGTTCTATCATTTCGCGCGTTTCTCGTCGACATTGCTCAAAGCATTATTGTTAACACACTCGCAGCGTACTACGTGTTTTCCTGCTGGATTGCTAGCTGGAATAGAATCTTGCCATTGTATTGGCTGCGATGCTGATAGTGCCAGTATCGTAACCAATCCGATACCAAGAATCTGATTCAGCTAGCAATCCGGCAGAAAAATATGCTTCGTGTGCCTCTGGCTTAAGTAGGGATGATATAAAATTTTATATCATGGTTAATCATGGTATGGATAACAGCTGATCTAAACCGTCCAACATTCCAAACATTTATATTCTTTTTAAATTAATGGTGTAAATACGATGAATGTGTGTGGTCGTGACGGATCGAGAACGAGATATTCGAGATACCAACGTCAACACCAGGTAACACCTGGTGGAAGGACATCGTCGTTCCTGTTTTCACGTGACACGTGGAGTTAAACACTGGTATCCGAAAACCCATATCAATTAGATGACGGCACGACGCCGTAGACTGGCAGGTCATGGGAGCCTGTCTCGGCCGCTGTATAACGAAAGTCACAGATTTCGTGCCGTACAGGTTAGAAATGGACTAAGTCTGATCGAAATCCAGGCAGACAGCTGCCAGGGTATCTGATACGAAATCGTTGCATAGATTTTGAAAAAAATTGTTCTTAAGAGCGCGCAGTTAAATAGAGAACTATATCAATAATCTAATATTTCAGTCGTATGAATCATAACTTTATAGTTGCACTAGTATATAACTATATGTTACGAAGAAATCAAGTTATGAAAGTTGTATTGAATCCTATTAGATTTTTTTATTAGGATTTAGGAAGATCTCCAACTGACAGTTTTCCTGGTATATTATAGATCTTACAATAGGAAATATCATGTTTTGTTATTTCATTGCTTTGTTTTATATTCAGGTTTTATCAAAGGCATACCAGAATGTCATTCCAAGAAGAAGAACAAGTTGAGGTATATATCCAAGTTTTTAAATAATGTTTTGAACAATGTTTCTGCTTATGCTTTTGCTAACAGAAATAACATTGCTGTTTTATGTTTAGTCCATGGACGTTGAAGGACACGAAGACCAAACTAAAGGATCAAACAGGTATAAAAGTCAGTTTGTAACTTTTAATTCTAATTTGGATACATGATATTAATATTACGTTTATCTGCCATGCTTACTGGATGTAGTCTCTTATCGTTCCTCTCTTTAAAAAGATTCAAGGTAAAAAAATATCTTATAATGTATATCTTATGCATCATTTAGTATACGAAGATAAGAATGTTACAGAATATGTAAGAGCTGTGTTACTTTTCTTGTACAAGAACTTACAAGAAGTATCTTAATTTGCGTTATACAAATGTATATGTGTTTGAATCATAGAAAAAACGTGGGGTTCCTGTAACTTTGGAATTATTAGAAGATGGAAGATGGGTACAAAGTGGTAATAGGTATGCTAGATTGAGTTCCAGAAATGATGTTTCTACCAGGTAAACTATATTATTACTTAATTTCAATAACAATCTCGGAATTGGTATGTGTGTGTGAGAAAGATTAAAAGATTGTACACTTATTTTCAGTTCTGGTCTGGATATGTCCCTTCAAGTTCTTGATGCAAGAACATTAATGAAACAACAGGCTTATGTGACATCCACTCCAGGATCATCACTGGATCTTGAGTGGGAACACGAAGGTGATCTACCATTTATATTATCATTTATATAAATTTTATAATATATAAATAAATTATACTTTTGCAGGAATGCTACTACCAATTATGGATGATGAACAAGGAGATACAGAGTATTCTCTTACACAGACATCAGCTAATAATAGTCAAGCCTCCAGTCTGACAGCATCTCCTTGGTCTAGAGTCTCGAGTCCAAATAGTTTAGAATGGGATCCGGTAGAACCAAATATGGTATGTGTCGATATAGAGACTGAACAACTTTTAACTGAGATAGAGAGATTAACAGACAAAGCTCTAAAAGAGACGGGTGAATGGACTAATACTAGCTGATAAACGAATCAATTAACGAATTGTTTGTATTTTTGTATTATAAAAAGTCACAATAGAGCTAAAACAGACGCTCTAACAAAAAGATTACATTATTTCGATATTACTATTCTTGAAACAGTATAACTGTGTTTATATCGTTTCAAAAATGTGTATTGTACAACTTACAATTAGAATATGTTGGATATAGAAATATGACGCAGATATCTACATTGTGTAGAGTATCTTATATAATAATTTGTAGCACAAAAAGGAATTATGTCAAGCTACCAAATCAAGAAAAATCATTTGCAGTATATGCATATGTATACAACAGTATATGTAAATAAAAAAAAATTAATTTTCCATTTCTAAATAAGACTATTTGCTTGCTTAAATGGCAAATTGAATTTTATCGTAAACTTTAGCAACATAAATATAAAGCTTTAGTTTTGCTTTTACCTCACGCAGCTTCCGTACGACAATAAATTATTTTTTAATAAAATCATGTGCCATACTTCTATATTTAAAATTTTTAATATGTATGTGCACCAACAAATAACTTGTTTTCATATGAAGTAATATTCTATATTAAAACAAATTGTTCATGAATAATGCAAATATAAGAAATATAAAAGATTCTATTACATCATATTATTTTTTATGCAATTTTTAAGCTATTGGCATTAATATGAGAAATAAATGCAATATTATAATAAAAAAATAAGTGCACACATCAATAGATAGTGAAATTTAGAAAGATAAATAGCAAATGTACAAAAGAAGAAAGTTTCGGATAGAAATTATTTTATTGTAACGAAAAGCATGTAAAAATAAAATTGTTATTGTAAATGATGACTGTAGAATGCCTTAATATAGATAATAAAAGATTGTGAAGTTTGCTACAGTTTATGACTGTGTTACTCATACTTTATTTAATATCATTTTAATATACTTCTATTATGTCATTATATATAATCAAAATATGCCTCATACAAAAAATACGCTTTTTTAATACTTGGATGTTAGAAATAAGCATTCACGAAAAAAATGTCATATCAATCAAAATCGTATAGAGATATAGTTTGATGAATGAACATATAAAGCGAATGTGAAATTGCAAAACATCACGCTATACTATGGAGTGTAATAAATGTTAAGAAGTAATATGCTTTAATAAATAATTAATTTATTATATTTTTATGTACATACAAAAAATTAATTTAGTCCTGTTGTAAATCCTCCTTTTCTAATAGATGTATTACATATTAAATTTTATTACAGTGGCTATACACATATGAAAAGTGTATGAAAGCTATAGAATTATACAGCATATTTATATAGCTTATATTTATTAGAAAATAGTACGATGTTAGGCTATGTATATTATATAATGCAAATTTGTTGGTAAAAATAATATAACAATTGTGTGAGTTTACAGATATATATATATATATATGGACAAACAAAAAATATTTGAAAATAACTATCAAAATAAAATTTATTACTAATTATAACTAATAGAAACTATAATATGTAAATTTAATACCAGTCATTTAATATACTGAAATAAAATATAAACGTTCGATAAATAATGATGTGTTTTCAATACTATGTCGTTAATGAAAGCAAGCGACTAGTATAAATTATTAATAAAATTAGAAATTTTTATTTACTCTTTATTTCAGCAATAAAATAAAAATGTTTGGGATGTATAAGACAAATGCTGTTTGTAAAAACGATATGGATATGTACTAACATTTACTATGCATATACTTTCGTCATGTATTACACACGTTTTCAAAAAAAATTTGAATTCACAGTTGATAATATTCCTGACAGTATAAATAACTTTTTTCTATAAGATTAAAAATGCTGTCCATAAAACGTGTATAAAATTTACTATTTTTAAACATATTTCTGTACTTTGTAAAAACAAATAAGTTAAACAAGGAACAATCGTCGTAAAATTAACAAAATTATTGCGGATACTAATGAAGCAATAAGAATACTCCAAAATAAATCATTCGAAGACGACATTGTGTCCACGTGATTTAGGATAATCTCAGGTTGTTGATAATCCGCATTTTCTTCCGTCATCGTTTCCACGTTAGAACGGTGCAGTATTTCACTTTCGGTTACATTTGTTGTTTTATCCGTAAATGATATGTCTGACGTTGGTGAGTCATCGGCCTATAATTTTGTTTTACAAATACATTAAGCTATATTTATGTAAACGTATGTTCAATTATTCATCTTATAATAGAGATATGCTTATAATACATATAACTTATCATTATATTATTTTTAAAAAATTATCATTGTATAGTTTACAGAAAAATAACGGGAATAAAAGAAAAAACATAATTTTAGTATTTATAATCAGTTATTTAGTTCTTATATCGAAATTGTATTTTAAAATTAATATTATAAAATTTTAGTGGTTTGAAACATTCAGATACATATTTCTTTTCAGAATTATATATATATATATATAGAGAGAGAGAGAGAGAGAGAGAGAGAGAACTTACTTAATAGAACTGCTTACTTACTTTGAGGGCAATTGTTTTCAGCATAGTTTGCTCCTCCTCGGTGATAGGTTTCTTAACTGAGTTTTTTGACAACAAGTTTACAACTTTACCACAAGTATCGCACTGCCACTTGAGTGATCTGGAATGCAAGGATCGATTACAAGACTATGTCATATTTTTGTAATATGTTTTGTTTAATTACGATATGGATTTATACTTTTTAGCAAGTTTCTGTCGTTCCTCAGTGCTGTAATCTAATGCTCCAATTGTACCACTTCCAGGTGTAGGCATAAAAGCTATCAGGGCCAGTAATGCCGTTCTAATGCTCCATGATGGCTGCCACGTTTCAGGATGATGACCAGAGATACTTAGGCATATCTTCTTGTTTATTTCAAAACGTCCGTTTGGCTAAATAAAAATATTACATGTAACAACTTGACATCATGATATAACATAATAATTCATATGTTACTTGTTACTGATGTCCATTGACTTACTGTCAATAGGATGATATTTGGTGGCTTCATTGGATACTCTGGTGGTAGTAAGATTCTCCCATGATACACACCACCTTCAAAATCTGTTGATGGTGGTCCTTGCACTGTGAAATGCCATTCAAACAGGTTGTCTTCAAGAGGAGATGCATAATATTCTTCGGTGGCTTCGTGCAGCTCTTGTGCCTCTCTCATTAATCTCTTCACCGCTAAGATACATATATTTAATAAGATAACGATTTTAACCTTGTCATTTTTACAAACCTTAAGATATTGTATTATTCGATAACGCATTTATATTATATTAGCAGATAAACATACATGTATCAACGCACACGTAAGACATTTTTATGCATCAATATGACCGTCGTGTAGAAGTGACACAAAAGCTCAGCAGATATCGGAAGATAGCTGGCTGGCAAATACGCTGATATCCACGAGTACAATAGCCTCATGGATATATGTCAGAGTTGCGCGGTTGTGAGTCAAAACAAACATTTCAACCGGCGTAATTTGCGCGTTGACTTTGACTTACCCGGGCTCTTGGCGTTGTATTTGCCCTCGAATGACATCCTCGATTAATTTTCCGGGCACCTTCTCTTCGTTGAGGCGGTAGGTTGTAGAGTCAAGAACGGGAAAACGACGCGGAGCGTAGACCGTCTTTCTCTACCGATTCCACCAGATCTCACCGATGCACTGATCGATAAAGCGCGTCCCGTTCACATATTCGCAGTCGGCGCAAATGCACGCCGATTCCGCCGGACGATTTTTGACGTCAAATTCAAGTCCCGACGTGGACCGATCGCTCCAGGTCTCTTGCTGTGAACGTGAACGCGAGACGTGACGTGACGTGGTAAACCTCACCGCACTTTGGCGCTCGCGCGCTTCTATTTATCACTAAATTAGGGATAGGGATGGCAAGCAGGGATGCCATTTTACAGACACTTACGGCATCTGGAGGGGATAGACTGACAAGTGATGGCAGTGCTGACACTGCTGACTACGTCACGCAACATAATTCACAAGGTCATTTATACTGGTCGTAAAGCTGTGCTGCGTTCGGAAGGATCACCCAAGTATCTCTCTCTCCCTGTGTATCGTCTTATCTTCGTTTAACATTGAATGAACAACAAGGATAAGATAACACTTGGGGAAACTTGGGTGATAACACAAGAGGAATAAGAGATTTCAACCTATCAGAAAGCGTCCGTTCTATTATACATGATTTCTGATAGGTTGACATTTCTTATTCCCTGTTGCTACTGCTTGTGTTTTTCATTGTGTTCTCAGCTTAAATAATCTGTTAACTTATGCCTGCTTAACCGCGGCGTGATCTGTAAGAATTAGTCCTCTTCGGCCACGTTAATTCGGTTTTTTCCGGAACCTGGACCATTGTAAATTAAGAACAAGAAGAATTAGTCCTTAAAGATAAGAGCACAGATTCTTGTAATTTTGTAAAGAAAATTAAAGAGACTTTCTACATTAAGCCATTTGTAATAAATCACCAAATCAGAAATCAGAAGCTAGAAATTGATTATGATCAATTTCTAGCTCATATATATATACATAGAAGTTAGAAATTGGTCAATCACAGTCGATTATTCTTCTCACATTTAACTGCAGTGATTATAATCAATTTCTAGCTTCTTGACTTCTGATTTGGTGATTTATTACTATATTGATTTATATATATATATGTATATATCTTCTATTATAATAATTTATTACTATAAAAATATGACTTATTGTAGAAAGCTTCTAAAGGCTTTATATAGCGTATAAAAAATTTAGCAATATAAAGAAATCAATATTTTGGATTTACTATATAACTTATTATGTATGCTAATACCAGTGTTGGGAACGTTTACTTTATAAAAGTAATAATAACGCATTACCGTCATCGTTACTTTTTGTAAAAAGTAACTTGTTATTGACTCTTCAATGACTTCAGTATGAGCGAATTTTTTAATTTATCGATTGATCAATCGATGAATTAAAAACTCGCTTTGTATTGATTTATCTTTCAAGTATATATATATATATATATATATATATATACTAT